GTACAAGCATAAGTGGGTTTGAAAATGTCTGAGGGTATAATATACACCAAAGACACCAGGGTTTTGAGTGAATATGGCGAATTCTTGGAGAGAAACCAAGATTTTAAAAAAAGGGGGGGGGCAGAAAAGCAGTCAGTGACATCTGCGCCCTACGCTAACACTAACAGTTGATGATTTTTTAAATACTTTTTAAAACTGCCTTCCGCACAGATACAGGCACGTGCAAAACGTCACATCCAGCTAGGGAAGGTAAGAGACCAACCAGGGGTGAAATCGCCAGACCTGGAAAATACGAGCAAACTCTACGACGCCAGAGGCTCGCAAGAAATGGGTTCACTGGAGACTGAACAGTCTGTTAGCCTTGTCGTTTCTAAATGTTGCAACAGCTTTGATGATGACGACGTAAGTCTCTATTTATTTATTTATTTATTTATTTATTTATTTATTTATTTATTTGGAGGTTGGCACTATGAAACAAAATTATGTAATTCCACGGTGGTTTGTTTGGTAGGTCTATTTTCACTTGCCAGACCTTCGATTCCCAAACTAAGAAGAAAGACGAACAAGGCCAGATGTGCACTCTTGGGTTTTGATACTTTTTTAGAATGTATATGTAGTACCATTGCTGCAATTTCAATAGTTATCCACTGTGTCACAGTTGGTTGATGAACTTAACAAATACACAGAAGCGAAAAGTTTGGATTCTAATGTAGCTCACGTCTTCCCCGGAAAGTTTTTACGACAAAGAGCTAAATTGCTCGCCGTTTTCAGCTTGACCTAAATTGTGTGTAGTTTGACGATCAAATATATCTTTTTGTTTTGTTTGTATGTTTGTTTCTTTGTTTGTTTGTTGTTGGTTGTTTTGTGGGGAGGGGGGAGTTGTTTGGGTTGTTTGTTTTTTTTCTGTTTTGTTTTGTGTGTTTGTTGTTTCTTCTTGAGGGGGTTGGGGGTGTTCTGTTCTGCGGTTTTTTCAGTTTTGAGGGCGGGGCTTGCACGTTGCTTTTTCCCCTCAGAGATCAACAGAGTCCCTGTATCAGTTTTTGAACCGGATTCTGATGTGCTGTGTATCTGCACATTTTTCTCTGCTATTTTTGTTTTTGGCGTTGATTTACTTTTCCCTTGTACCACGACATTCCAAAATATTTCTTGGATCACAAAAACGTAGGATAGGCTCATGGGATCGTTTTATCATACGCACCGTATACTTCTTGTTGATAAGCTAATTTGACGGGTGCTATCGGCTACCTCTGCATGCCAGTGTGTGTGTGTGTGTGTGTGTGTGTGTGTGTATGTGTGTGTGTGTGTGTGTGTGTGTGTGTCTGTCTGTCTGTCTGTCTGAGAGAGAGAGAGAGAGAGAGAGAGAGAGAGAGAGAGAGAGAGAGAGAAACCGAGAGAAGGAGCGTATGTGTGTGTGTGGGGGGGGGGGTGTATTCACTTCATGGCAACACAATCAAACAATAGAAAAATTATAAACACTTTACAGAAAAACATGTCTGAAAAAGGATAAAAATCACATCCCTTTGAGGTAGTACTCGTACTTTGCGGTAATTTGTCTCATTGCATATTTTGGAATTGAAATGCAAAGAAACCTCGAATAAAAATAGAAGCTGTTAGTCACGCAATGGGGGTGGTAAGCTTGGGAGCCTCATGGTGTCTTGAGTAGAAGGGGTTCATGCTCCCTTGTGTCAAAATCGTCACTCTGTGGTTGGCGACCGAGGTTATTTTCAACTCTCTGTCTAAGCCTGGCATTCTCTTGCGTGTCGGGCAGTGGACAATTAATTCTAAATTGTTGACATCTTTTTCCATGTTTGTGAGGGGTTCACTTTATGACTTGGCTTCTGTTCCTCTCTCCAATCAGAGCAACTCAGTGAGTCTCAGCGTTCCCAAGACAAGCAACGAAATGGCCAAACTAAACTCAGCCCCGCCCGCCACATCGGAGCAGAGAACAGAAACACACTCGATTAGTCTTCACACAAAAATGGATTTCCAGCCGCAATACAATACCGAGCCAATCGAAATGCTTCAAGGATACAGCACTTACATGACGATGCACTCTGACAGGGTTAACCAATCAGAGCTGGGGGCAAGAGCAACTGACACGTGTCACACCAGCTGCTCTAGTCAATCAGAAGACAGAGCTCTGAATGGCGTCAGGAGTCCGTCTCCTTGGGCCATGGACAGTAGTGAGATGAAAACCTCTTGAGGCAGGCAAGAAGTTAGTTGGGTGAGCTGTGAAGAGAAGGTCCATGGTCAATATATCTATCTTTGAGACGACACAATTGGCATCACGTATGTTTTTATTGAAGATTTTATAAGAAGTCTTTTAAACAGTGGCTTCACCACCAAGAGTGGAGTTCAACAACTGACTTTCAAAATAAAGGCTTGTTATTTGAACTTATAAAAGGGACAACCGGGTTGTTGTTTGTTTGTTTTTATTCTGAGATTTTACCCTCAGTTGCATGCTTTGTTTTTTATTTCCAGATCAGTTTGTTGGGGGGGGGGGGGTTACATGTCACAATTTTCCAATTTTCTTTGTTGCCCGAGGTTTCTTCGAAGCACCGGGGAACAGCGACTCTATTTTTAAAAACAGCGTAAAGATAATATTAAATTAATTCGGAGCAATCGTATCAAAATTAACAAAACGACTCGCGAATGTCTCTTCTTCGTGCCGGATTTAGAAGATTAGTAAAAAAAAGTATTTACAAGACTGTATACTGTCAGTTTTAACAGATCTCTTTATCGACCCCTACAGTAAAAATTGGGAGAGGCGAGCTGTGACGCAGAATCCCTTTGAAGTTTGCCGTCTGGCGGGATTAAACTTTGCTAGCAGAATTTTTTAAATAATTATTACAGCAAAAAAAAATTGATTTCATTTTCTGAATCAGCGTATTAAAATAAGCTAAGTGGCTCGCGTGGCACCTGATGTTATGCCTTAATTATATCTAAACTTTAGTAAACTTTAGTCTTTGAATTTGAAGTCATGTATCGAGCGCTGTGCATCTGACGTCACAGCTGCTAGGCCTTCACACAGCACACTGTGCTGTCACTATGGCGAAAGTGTCAAAAGACACTTATTTCTTCGTTGAGATGTAGGGACCTACAGATTCCACGAATGTTTATTATTATTATTCTGATGATGATGATGATGATGATGATGATGATGATGATGATGATGATGATGATGATGATGATGATGATGATGATGATGATGATGATGATGATGATGATGATAGTAATATAATAATAATAATAATAATAATAATAATAATAATAATAATAATAATAATAATTATTATTATTATTATTATAATTATAATAATAATAATAATAACAATAATAATAATAATAACAATAATAATAATAATAATAATAATAATAACAATAATAATAACAATGATAATAATAGTAATAATTAGAAAACATGCTTAAGTAGTGTTTATTGTTACAATTAAAATCATACAAGTATTCGTAGTCAATTGTGATTATAGACTTTCGTCACACCTGTGGATTTAATCTAGATAATCTTAAAGGTGGGCTGCTTTAACTCTAGATCTATATGTAAACACCTACTTGGGCTGAGGGGGGATCCAACGTCCCGGAGACAGACGGAGGTACTCGATACTTCACCCCCCCCCCCCCCCCCCCAAAATATATAAGAGTAATAACAATAAAAGGTAATTTTGCAGTATTGGGCCCATCTCGGAAGGAGGCATAAATTTGTGATTTTCTTATGCTTTTTGGTGTGATGTAAAGAAATTTGACCATTAAAATCATCACAAATCAACATAAATGTGAGTTCTGGGAGGGCTCAAGACCGGGCGAAAATAAAATTCTTTACGAACAAGCGGGAGACATTGTTGACTGAATCTAGATTTTTTCTACTTCTCAAAACAAAAAGAAACAAACAAACAAAAGTTGCTGCTATTGATAACAATTGTTATGTATCAAATTTTCCTAAATCACATAGATATACCCAATACTTTTTAATTAAGATTGCGAATTAAGACTCCCTTGGTGCTGGGAGAGATGTTCAACAAAAGCCTAAAATAATTTTGAAGATGATTCCAGAAGAACTAACAGGTGTTACGGGTTTTTTTAATTTTACGTTCAGCACTAGTTTCTATAAGTGCATTCTACTGAATACTGTAAAAGTAAAAGATCATTTTTGGTACCATGTAGTTCCTAATTTGAAGCAAACGTTAGCCGAAAAAGCACTTCATTTACTTCTATACTGGACATTCAAAATGAACCAAAGGGTAGATTGCTGTACATATAATTTAACATTTTAAAAGTAAGACTCAATTGTATAAGCACCTGATTGTAGGGACTTGAAGAAAGGAATGTGGGAAAATAGACCAATATTTTGTAAGTCAATTTTAGGGTTTAGGAACTCACGGTTAACGATCACAAAAAATGAAATGGCGTCAAATCACAAGATACAGGACAAAGATGCCAAGGTTTCGTGACTTCTAAAGCTTGAAAGTCCATGGCAACTACAAATTTATATTTGTTGTGCCTTCGATAAACATTTTCCAGTAATGTTTTAAATAGACACATAAGGTTTAATTTAACGAAAATGGCTGACAAGAAAACAAACATGCACATTGACTGGGGGGATTTGAAATTAAAGGAAGAAGGAATGGGGTACCTAATGGAATTTAAAAACAGATACAAAGCGGTACAAGCGGAAATTGAAAAAGCGGGAACATCATGGAAACAGATAGAAAAGGATGCTCAGGACAGGCTTTGCTGGAGTAATGTTGTTGATGGCCTGTGCTCCACTGGGAGTTAAAAAGGGCAAGAGACAGACAAAGTTCCTAGAAACGACGCAGCTGTCTTTCAGCCACACCTCTGATCTTAGAGTAAGTAAGATCCAACCCTTAGCTTTTTCGGATAAGGGCAAAAAATCTCGGTCCCGAGTGCAATTTGCGCACGTTAAAGATCCCCTGGTGGTCCAATGTCGATAAGAGTAGGCTTCGGCCGCCACCCAGGCAAAATTCAAAATTAATTCCAACCAAACTGAAAATGTGGTCCGCGCACTTATTTGACCTTATGTTGTTATGAGGGCTGTAAAACACGTACAAAAAAAGGGAGAACTTCCATAACAACCCACCACCCAAATAACGTTCAAAGAAGAGACCTAACCCTACCCCTACCCTTA